CCTGCACCTCCACCATCATCATCAAAGACTCAGTTGCACTTACACTTGCATTCATAGATGTGAAGACAAATTCAAAGTGCCAAAACATTTTGTTTTGTAGTTTTTGACGGACATGATGATGCTGAGTGTGGATCTATATGGCATTCGTCCTTGCATTCAGGTTTGTGATTTAGTATATTAATGTTTTAAAATTTTGTTCTATAGATACTTTTTGTTCTGTAAAGTGTTAATTCGTGTACTTACATTATCTTTTCTTTTCTTAGACAAACGAGCTTTGTATGGTTACCGAGTCCAAGGTCAATACGGGATTTATTCAGGAAAACAGGGACTGKTATTTGTAAAATGATAGGCACGTGCGTCAGTAAAATTAAGCAAAACATTTACACAAAACAAAACAAAAATTACGACAAATCGAATTTTAAAAGCTACAAAATTGTGGACAATTTAGAGCAAGATTTAAATTGGATGAGTCCACCAAAAAAAGACATTTACACATTTAGACATTTAGACATTTAGACTAAAAGTATTATCACGTGTTTTCTCGGTTCTGGCATAAAACAAATGCTGAAATACCATTCTCCATCTTAAATCCTCACTAAATGGTCAGGGCATTCTGGATTTTCGATTCACAGTTGAATTTTACATTTAAAGTTCAGGCTGACGCACACGAGGCAAAGAATACATACATGTAATGAAACGCGTGATATATCTTTTAGTCTAAATGTGTAAATGTCTTTTTTCGGTGGACAACGTTAATTACATTGACTGCATAATATATTCGATTTGATATATAATATATTCGATTTGATATATAATATATAATATATAATATATCATATATCATAATCTATAAAATTTATTTTTATTTTATGTTTCATGGCCGCGTATCAATTTTTTCGCAAATATGTCAGTTTTTTTTCGCGTGGGCCATCAATTCCATATCCATATTTGGTAAGCTTACCATATTTTAAAGTGAACATAGATTTCTTTTAGGTGATGTTCCCACCATTTAAAGCCTTATAATGTCGAATATATGAATCTGAACTTCCAGATATTATAGCGAAGAAGAAGCACTTCAAACTGCCCACCATCTTGGATTTAGCTTAGATACCTGGCCTTTGACAAAGGAAGCCCAAGACGTTTAAAACCATGGGAATCACGTGCGAGCGACACTATATAAGTTGGATCCACTAAGCATTTAATTTTCATGATCAGAGCACGCCTTTTTAGTCGAATGATAACTAATAACACATGCGTAAGCGTAAAGAGTGCTTTGAAAACTGAATATTTTAGGATCTTTCGATTAACTAGTTTGAGGTTGATGAAAAAACTGCGATTTGTCTCCAAACAGCCCCAAAATGCAATGCAATGCCAACTCGACCCAGTTTTTTTTCAGCCTCGAAACAGCTAATGAATTATCCTACTTACACTTAATTTAGAAAGCTACTTCAGGGGTGCAGAGGGAGCGCACAAACACCTAGATGAACCGTTATCTACTGCATTAATGGTGTGTGAGTTTAAGCAAAGGGTGTATCCCCTCCTAAAACAAAAATCCTGGATGGTGCACTGACCACGCCCCCTCTCCCCCCACCCACCCC